CGTAATGTATTGTTAAGAGTGTTTTAGGCACGAATTACTATAATGAAGTTATATACGCGAAATCTATTTTCATTACTTGCCATGAGTATGCTGCCCGTCTTAATCATCATCATCATTGTTGTCGTCATCATTACAGGAGCAAGTATCACCATAAATATTATCGTCCTCAATATGTTATTTGCTTATAATCATAATGAATAAATCATTATCATTATCACACAAAGCCATCATTATCCTCATCACCTTCATCAGTGGCGGATCCAGGAATACGAAATAGAGGCCCAGAGAATGTTTTGTAGATAGAAGGTCCACACCACCTCAACCCCAGGGTTTGGACCCCTTGAATCCGCATATGGTCATTATGTTTGAGTCCTCCTCATCCATTATTATTATTATTTTATTTATTTTATTTTATTCCTTTCAGCCAGAACCACAAAAAGCAATCAAAAAAGAAAGAGGAGGGCAGAGGATTGTTATCATCATCGTCACTTCTGTCGTCATTACCAGACCCACCACCATCATTAATACTAATATTTTATAACCATAATAATAAGGATCATTATTATAATCTCATCATCATCATCATTATCACCATCATCATTACCACCACCATCATCATAATCGCCATAAATGTTGCCATGATCATTTTCATCCTCCTCCTCATTATTATCCTGATCATTAACGTTATCATTCATCGTCACTATCATTGTCACCCTCCTCCTCCTCATCATCATCATCGTTGTTGTCGTCATCATCATCATCATTATTATAATCATCAATACTATAACCATCATGTCCACCACCATGATTAGCAGTAGCATCACCACCACCATAACCGACGACGACGTAGTCATGACAGCAATATCAAATAATACAACATAAAAAAGTGGCTCACTTGTAGATGATGAGTGACGAAGATGACTGTTTTGTCTTTCATCAACTCTCGTATACAACGGTGAAAGATGTGCTTTCCGACATGGGCATCAACAGCGCTTAGTGGGTCATCTAAAAGAAAGATATCTCCACCAGAATATAGCGCCCTCGCAAGGTTTACTCGCTGTTTCTGACCGCCACTAAGATTTATACCCCTTTCACCAATCTACATTATCAAACGTTTAGAAAATTATTTTCAATTAAATACTATTTTTATATCAGATTGGCTTGTGTACGAATCGCATCAATAGCAGATAATTTGTAGGCCAATAGGTTACACAACCGCAATATAATATTCAAAAAGTTTTGAAATAGTGCGTATCAGTTTCAAAAATAAAATTATATATTTATATATAAATCATCAAAGAAAGGTAAATACAATGTTCGAATAAAGGACATATGGTACACCGTGTAGCATAGCTCTCAACGAATACTGTCCTATAAATATATAAATAAATACATTGTGCAATAAAAAAAATGTTGTATTTCAAACTTTTATTGCAAGTGATAAATATATCCACTTATAAGGAAGCAATATTACTATCTTTGTATGTGATGCTTTAAAGATAAAATTGCCGGAATTTGGTGTCTCTCTCACCTCTGTATTGTCACCCTGTTCAAGAACCGCTAAGTCTTCTGTCAGACTGCACGCTTCAATGATTTCAGCATACCTGACTGGATCAAAGTCTTCGTTAAATATGATATTTTCTCGAACTGTTGCATTCATGATCCAGGCTTGCTGTGGTACATACGAGAAACGCCCGGCGACAGCCACGCGACCACTGACCATAGGCAACTGTCCTAAGAGGGCGTTTAAGAAAGAAGTCTTCCCGCTTCCTATTGCCCCGCATATTCCAACCAGTGAAGACTGCAAGTTGATAAAAACAATACACAGAAGTGCAAATACTATAGTAAGAAGGATTTGGCAAAACATTACGTTAAAATATTTCACAGAGCAGTCACTTTTTTTAAAACAGAAAATATTAATTTATTCGTTTGTAGTCATATTTTTATTTTATTATTTTCCTCATTGTCTAGTTCCTGTCTTCATCCTGCGATATTTTAGAAACATTGCGTTCTTCAAAAGTTTTGTAGTTGTTTGAGCTGTGAAAAATCTTACGTTTATGCACAAGGGTCGTAGATATTATATGCCAAACAGTGAGCTTAATCACTTTTCTAATAAGAAATTCCCCCTCACAAGACAAACATATGTATATCTAGTAACAGTACACAAGATGCTCTAGAACCATGGGATCGGAAGGATGGCATCTAACCACTAAGCTATTCAACTCCACTGCTGGTGTCTGACTACAAAAAACTTTACCTACCTTTGGGATTTCGATATTCATATCACAGAGTACCAGTTTATCCGAATGCTGATTTCTACTATTCAACATACTTTCCTCGTTCACATCTGGTGACACAACTGAGTCCGCCACAGCGTCGATATGGCCATACCCAATAACATTGGACCCATCTAATTCTGACATCCTCCATGAAAACGAGGCATTTGAAACTTCAACTGCATTTTCGGATTTCTGTGGAACTTCGTAGGTAAACGGTTGGTCCTGAATTTGTAATATTTTCTAAAGAAATACATTAAAACATACAATAATATCATTGGCAATGGTTCATGTAACCTAAAATTGATATTTAGATGTAGACTTATCATATTTCGATAAGAAATAGTAGGCTAATCTTTCTCACTTTCAGGAAGGACCAAAGGAAAATTATTATTGATAAAGTCATACCGTAATTAATGTATTTCGTTTGTGGTGCATTGTAGGCCTTACCTATAGGCCTATCATCATCTTCATCGTCATTATATCATCGTCATTATCATCACCAAAATCGGCTTCATCATCATCATCCTCATCATGTCCATCAACATCGATCATCTTCATGATTTATGTCATCATCGTTTGCCATCATCACTATTTTACCAATATCTTATTCTCGTCATCATCATCACTTGTCACCATCACAATCATCTATTATTTTCATAATAACTAACAATACCTGTATTCGCTTAATCGCCACCAGTGCCTCCACGGTGGGTTTCAGTACTATCGGCAGACTGTGAACAATGTTTGCAAGAGTTGTGAAGCAGACCAGTAATCCAAACAACTGCAGAGTTGTAGAACATCAAAATTATCCATAAGTTTTTTTCGACAATTTAGATCTACGTTATATGTAATCTATAGCCCTCAAGATCTGACCTAATCAAGCCCAATATGGCGTCCTGATTCCGATTTATGTTAAATCGAGAAGGGGCAGCAAAGGCGCCAGCAATTGGCCGACACGGGGTCCGACAGGTCCGACGGAGGTGGCCAAACCAAGGGGCTGACGAACCCTCGGTCGACGACCTGGAATAAAAATTAATCCCTGGTAGGGAGTTTTTATGGCTTAGTATGGTTCGAAATGTGCTTTTATGACACAATATTAGGGATTGGCAATCAAAATAACGTTATTTTGATTGGCAAATTATTACTGTTTTTTTATCCGACGACCTACTCTAGTGTCTTACGACAGGGAGTCGTCTGGCGCTACCAATGGGGAGGAGGTAATTTTGAATATAAAGTCATACATGCTTTAATTAATGCCAACATTGGTTTGATAATGTTTGACTTTTGAAAGCCTTACGTTACGTGAGGCATTCAGAAACATGAGACTACGGAGAAAGTTACGGTATGTCACGATAAATAAAACCATACACACAAATTTTAAGAACGTTTGCAGATGTTATAGTTAAGTTATGTCAGAAAGTGAGTTAAGACAACGCATTAAAGATTACGCTATAAATACGTAAATGTAGCTGTACAAAAATAAGTATTGAACACCAAACTGCATCTTATTAAGCTTACCTCAGGCACTGAAATTTCACGTCCTGTAAACACTATGGTAAGCATTATCGTAACCATAGCCGACGGATTGGCAGCATAAACAAAAGTCAAAGTTAACCCATGGAGGAAATTAACTTTCTCTAACTGATTCAGCTCTCGTTTGCGAATTTCTGAAAAAAAAAAAACATGTTTATAAGTGGAAGTTTCATTATTGTAGTCTAGTCAGGAATTACCAACCGGACGTCGATTAATGTTTTATCTCTTTATTTGCCATTTTTTCATTCCAATTCAATTTTACAGCGTGGCCTTAACTCCTTTATGTGTACGTTACATTGAATATTTTTATTTATTTTAGATTTTTTGGAATGACTTTGCCTACTAGGTCTACACCAATTTAAATGCGACAATAATTATGGTATGGTATAGTAAAATCATTTGGTAAAGCGCCTTTTCCAGTGGATCATTATGTCTCCCCTTACCCTAATAGCAGATGGTGAACTCTAAAAACAGCATAATTATACAGAAAACTCTAATTTTGGAAAAACATAATACAGCTAACGTTATGAAAACGTTACAGCAAACAAAAACATCACAGCATGAACAGGATTTGCATTTATAGCATACACATAACACCGTATTTTTATAAAATTACCTTTAATCTTTGCCGCAAATGACTTTTCCCAAACGTACATTTTGATGAGTTTAGCGTAAGTCAAAATCTCGTTCATTATCTTCACACGTTCAGCAGAAATTTTGGAATATTTACTTCGTTGTTTCGTTAGTATTTTAGCAGCAATGCTCTTTATGAAGACAAGTAAATAACAGAAATTAAAAATCATGATTTGATTCATTATAAATAGTTAGGAGTGATGTTTTGCCCAGGGACGGATCCAGAATTTTCAAACGGGGGGGGGGGGGGGGTGCACAAAGGGTTGCACAATAGTTTCAGAATAGGTAAGTGAGTAGAAAATAACATGATTTGCATTGAAATTTTTAAAGTGTAGTGGCAAAACGAGGTGAGGGGCACTGTTGCCCTACCTGACGTGTTCTGAATGCTCAGTACGTTTCCAAATACTTGCAAAAAAATCTATAAAGTGATTTGGGTGAGAATGAAACCCACGACCTCCAGATAACTACCCTGGTGTCTCACCACTAGACCACCGAGCTTGCGCTCCGTGACTAGTGTTGAATCCGATCACACAATAGGAGAGGGTATTGCAATGCTATTCGATGGGAAAAAATCATCATTCCTTTTAAATCCCCTGACGCAAACACCATCAGAATATAAATAGAGAGGACAAATTGCTTAGATTTCAAAAATGACAATAGCTGATAGGCCTAATTTCATAAAGTTGTCAAAATAAAATTGTAAAAAAAAAATGTGTTTCCTTCTTATCAATGTTACTATTAAGTAATACGGTACTAATTATTGAAAGAAGACATAAGAATAAATATAACAATTAAAAAAATAATATAATAAATAAATAAAATTGACCTAAATCTTAAACTCCATCATTAGTGCTAATATGAGTTCCATAGTGTGTCAGTTGTATGATACTGAATATCTGCGATAGGCCTACACCAGGTACTGAAAAGAACTGGAGAGTTGAGAAAATCTCGATTGATTTATTCGTATTCTAGAGAGTAATCTAATATCAGTTATTTGTAAAACTATTCATAAGGTACAGCAATTAGGCATATTCACTTTAGGTTATTCGCATGCCAAATTTCAAACAATATTTAGGTTAAGGTTTAGCATAAGTACTAACAGAAGACCATTGTTACTAGAATAGTGCAGATTTTATTTCCTTCAGTGATACATCAACTTAAGGCTCAACATTCGAAATATTTTTGCATTATGCATAGGCCTATTATACAAGTAAAATTATCAATAAAGTATTTTTATTATTGTATCATTTATGACATATCATTGTGTCTATAGTTTTTACAGCAAAACAGAATCACAATGGTGGTTTTTAGTCGCCGAAACCTACCTGAGAAATAATCACCGTGAGCAGGGCTAGGACGCCCCCAAGTGCCGTAACACCAATAAGACGTATGATGAATGTTAGCACTGCAAGCAAAACAAGCATTGTTCGACAGATCACGTGACAATTCAAGACCGCATCATATATTCTAGCACCATCGTTCGTTAGAATATTCACGACCTATGTAGAAAATTTAATGAATAACAATATATAATTACATATTCCAGCTTATATAATTCCGATTTGGCGTTGTCCTTAAGTTTGATGTTTTCAGTCAAATAAATTTCCGACTAGACAATAGCAGGTATCTGAATTTACGTGTATATTATAATAAAGTATTGTACGATGGTGGACCAGTAGCAAAAATAGAAATAATAAAAAAGTAAGTATATGATAGAGATTACACTTAATCTTAAAAATATATAAATAAATGCTGTAAAATTATATAAATAAATGTTTAAATGTTTTTAAAGAAGAGGAATCTGCAAGGGTGAGCAAAAAAAAAATAGGTGCTCCTGCTGTCTATGCAGCGCTTGGGGTTATGCTTCTCAACCTTGAGGTTGGGGGTTCAATCCCTTGCTGGGCATTTCGCCTGTGTTCATAGGCAAGGCACTCTGAGAAGCCTTAACCAACTAGACCATTGAGGCTTTGTTGGGAATTGAAGCACCCAATTCCTTCACACTCATGCGCATGCGTATTAGACAGCACTAGTAATTGATACATGGCAACAAACAGAGATCAATATGTTACGCCCTCTTATCTGAAATTTACGACAAGACGAGATCTTTTATAAGTAAATAATGATACAAATAGAGACAAACTCTGAATATAATATTGATAATAATAATAAACAATAATAATAATATTAATAATTATATAAACATAATAACAATATTAATAATTATATAAATATAATAATGTAATGTGATATAATACAATTCTTACCTCTCCAACTGAAACAACTGTTGACTTCATCTTGGAAATATGTTTGTAGAACAAAATAAGAATCGCAGTCCGAAGACGCACCGCAACTTTTGAATTTGCATATAGCACGTTATTAAGAACAAATACACGTATTACTACAACTGCAACGAGTAGGAACGTGAGCATGAGACCTTTGTGAACATCCCAATCCTGTTTTTCGACATATTTCAGTGTCTCACAAATGACCATGACCTGTAACATGAACGATCATCAATAACAATTATTTTTTTTTAATTTACGAATTTTTTAATTTCGTTCTAAATATAGACAATATTACATTAGATATGTAATGAGTTTCTTACCCCACCAATTCGACCAACTATTTCAGCAAAAGTTGACAAAATACAACTAAAAATGAACTGTCGACGAATAAAGAGAAAACATGCATGGAGGAAAGAAGCGCCCTCAACCTGTTGAAAACATGCTTGTTTCCATAAGGTTTCCAGCCTAGGAAAAAAAAACATACTGTAAAGGAATATTATATTTGTTAGGCAGTTTGATATGTTCTAACGTGATATTATCGCCATCCTGAGCTTTATGTGATTGGCTATTGTGTGGCGCGTACTACTGACGCGCCTGTTGAACATGGTTGCACCATGTGTATCACGCACTGGGACTTTTGTTTTTTTTAAATCGATGAAAAATCAATTATGATATGACCTGTTTGTTTTTCTGCTAATTCAAGCTATGCAAATGGTCTGCCATCATAGAGCATTGACTTTCATTCACACACACGGCGTAAGACTGGCGTGGCTTACGCCAGGCGTAAGCTAATCCACGGTTTAAAATTCCAAAGTGTTCACACAAACGGCGTTCGTTAAACTAGCAGTAATATAGGCCTATGTGGAGTGGAATAGTTTTCAGTTTTAAATAATGTACGTGTTAACAGTAGAAAATTAACAGTGCATCATGAAAACTTTTAAATCTGTGAATTGTTCGAAGTGAACTTATATGATTATTGTATTTTAAATAAACAATTTTACTTTTGATTTTTCAGCTAGCATTGTTGATGGTGCATGTTTTAATAGACAGTCTAAATGGTTAAAATATCTTACAAAACACAATCAATAAATCATATACATTATAACTAAGTAAAATGCAATAGAAAAGGAACCCCTTTTACCATTTCATTTATAGAGAGCACAAAAAAAAGACCAAAGTAGCTAATATATTGCAATCGTGATTGGTCAATCTCTTGAAATGAGGTCAAATCATTCAAGCATCACTGGCGTTAGCTCAGTGGCGTTAGCTAATCTGGGGTCTGCAGGTAGCGTTAATAACGCCAAGGACGTGGCGTAGTGAGTGGCTTTAACAACGCCACTGCCTCTGTCTCTTATACACATCTAGATGTGTATAAGAGACAGCATCTCTAACTCATATTTATATGTTTGGCATTCCAACGCCGCAAGTTAATAGTAATTAGTCAAACATGTTGGGTAAAAAGCGGTCCTTGAGCTAGATGAGTTCCTCCTGACACACGCTAGTGCTGCAACTGTTGGTCGATTAATCTATTGATGAATGATTGATTGCAGCGTTATTTCTTTATTTTGATTGATTAATTTATTGATTGCTGGTTTGTCTACAGACAGAATGATTGATAGTATGTGTTCGTTGCGTATGCGTCTATTACTAAACTTTTACATCTTGTCTAAATAAAAGTTTACTACTGTACATTGAATATATGATGCCATATTCCTGCAGTTTTATCACTGAAATAATAAAGTGTAAGGATTGTGATCTTTCAATTATTTTCTCTCATAAATTGGAATCAATTCACCTCACCCCTTCTGAAAGTAAAGCAGTAGCAGTATAAAAACATATATATATATATATATATATATATATATATTTTAAAAGGCAAATGGGAAAAACCCATAAAACAGCAGACGGCCACATAATGCAAAACTATTTAAAATTAAAACGGAACGGTAGAGAAAATCCGATCAGAGTGACAAAATAAACTAAGCATCCACTGGAAGGAATCCCAATATCTGCAGACGGATCCGTTGCGGCCTTCCATGCCTCATCAGTGCAGCTAGGGTATTTTTAACTACTTGTCATTTGGGGCCATTTTTAATGGGGCCATTTTTACCGGGGCTATTTTTACCGGGGACATTTTTTCCGGGGACATTTTTTCCTGGGCCATTTTTTCCAGGGCCATTCTTACCTACATTCTCTGGCGGGATTCGCACATGCCAACTTTCTCTATATCAAGGCGACTGTCATACCCAATAAACCACGGAGTACATACGCACAGATTAACCCCAGACACTTTCTGAATTATACGCTCACACACAGTAAAGCTACGGTTAGGTTCAATTTCAAGTTCAAAGGAACATTTATTTTTCAAAAATAATAATAATGCATATATAAAATAATAAATAACCAGCCAAGTTTGAAGGGGGCGAAACCCATAAAGCGGAGCTTGTGTAGGGCTGCCCTGAAATAAACATACAGAAAAACCAAAGCCAAAACAGAACAGGACAGGACAACAGGGGACAGGACAGGACAACAGGAGTCAAAACAGACAACAGGAGACAACACGAGGATGCTCAGAAATGCAATTTTTTTTTCTTTTATAATTTTGGGACAAAAACAAAATGTAACGAGTTGGTAATAGAGATCGAGAATGGGTAAAAGGAGAAAATTATGATGAGATGTTTTTTCAGTCTTGAACATAAGTTTTTTTTAGAGTAGGAATTACTCATAGCCGTCGGAAGCATTTTGCAAGTGGTCCGGCCATTATAGTTACGTGGGCGGGGCTTAACAATTTGGTTGTTAAACTGCAGACCCGCTACCCATATCTACGGATACAGGTTTTTAAATTTAGTGGGGGTCTGATAATATATCCACGACAGCCCACACTTGTTTGGCATCTCTGAATGCTAGAAAATAGATACTGACAACCTACTGAGCCGCTATCCCTCCCCTCAAGAGACAGTCACAAGATTTAAAGTTAGCATGGATGTAGAAGCCTTTACCCCTCTCCATCATGTACATTGGTAGAACACAAGATTTAAAGTTAGTGGAACACGATTGGGGTTGATGTGAGCAAAATTTGAAAATATGGCTTCTAAACAGTGGCGTAAACGCGTAACTATGTTTCCAGGGACTCTGGTTCGAGAATACAATCGGGGCTTTTGCATATAAATTGGCCGAGTCTGATTAGGCTAACCAAGCTTTATTCAGTCAACAAAATTACTCCTTAATGAAGTAATCCATAGTAAAACCACTCCTGCCGAACACCATCCCTATATTTCTGAGTCTAAAATTCGGGGACAGAAAAAATGTTAATAATAAAGTGAATTATTTGTAATTTATTACTATTTTACTGAAGTAACTCATAGTACTCTGTCGCATACCATCCTGGTATTTCTGAGTTCTGGTTGCGGGGCTATAATACTAATGTATTATTATACAGATACAAATATAGCTATTTTATTATCATAAAAATACGTAGTGCAATATATACTGTATATAATATCGTACTTTTACAAAATTAACCTATATTAAAATATTTGCTCCAACCGGACAATCCCAGTTCTGAATCGCCGCCGGGGGGAAAAGTGGGGGGGGGGTGAGCCTGTGTGGGTAATGTTTCCCATAGAAAGATTTTGAGAGTATGACCTTGGGCATCCTCTTACCAGTATAACTCAAGAAAACTTTAGGTACTATATTCAAAAAAGAGATAATAAAGGCATATTTATGCCCTGTAGGCCTAATAAGAGTGGGTTCAAAAAGATATCTTGGCACGAAGGTAGTTGCATGACTCAAGATAATGATCAAATCACAATACGTGACCTATTTTTAAATCATGGGAATAAGAAAAATGATAAATAGTTCAAAATTCAATTTCTTATGAGTTTCCATTACATAAATAGATGAATTGTATTCCTCCATGAATACGTAAAAAGTGCAACAAACATAAATACATCATATTATACAATAAATAACAATGACGTATGATGAAATATTAATATTACGCTATAGATGACTTGGGTTGCTTATTCCTCCATGAATAAGTAAAGTGCAACAAATCCGAATAACAAAAAATAACAATGACTATAGGCCTATTTACACAAAGTGCAGGTATGGTGAAATATTAAAAATATGCAAATATGTGATATAAATACACAGTTTGCAATATGCTATGCATTATATTAGGAAATATGCCTACAAATTAATGAATACGGTTTTAATTATTTACACTTTGGCGTACTTGCCAAATTTGCATTAATGAATTATTGACATGACGCTCTAGATCGTACTAAGTTTCTAGTAGCACCACTCACTGAACAGCCGGTATACCGTACCTTACGCCACAGTCTCTGGTGCCAATTGGCTGCTACCCCTCAAGAGGCAGACACAACACTTAACGTTCGTTGGGATATTGAATTCATACCTACCCCAGCCCAAACATGGTGAACAATTTTTGAAAATATGGCATGTCTAGACGCTCAGGAAAAGAAGCTGGCAACCTGCAAAGCAGCTAACCCACATTCAACACCCATCATGCAGGGGCAGATCCAGGATTTAAAGCTACTGCAAGTGGACTACTGTAGATACCATACTCACCCCAAAACATGTTATAAATAGTTAATTGCTATATTGATACCTCTAGAGATTTTCAAAATCGATCTTAATTACTAGAATTAAGGATTGTCAATAAAGTTAAAATTATAGGCAATACAAAAACAAGCGAATGGTGGATTTTGTTTGAATATACAACATTAAAATGACGTGAACAATAATACTAAATTCATATAGGTATCAGTGTATAATTATTTTTAAAAAATAATAGAATTGAAAAAAAGTGGTCCGGCTAAAGCCAGTGCGGTTCCGACGGCCCTGGAATTATAAATGGAATGAGGGAAATTGTTCCATAGCTTAGGACCAGTATATTGAATATTGTGCTGGAAAGAAGTGGTTCTATGAAAGAGAATATGATGATTTGAAGAGCGTGTAAAATGACTATGATAATAATAATTAAAATTAAGTAATGATTTAAATTGAGAGGGGAGAGTGAAATTTACTCATGATAAAATAAAAGCGCATTGCTGAAGATGATTGATGTCATGATTTTTTAGAAGACCAAGGGAGGAAAATAAATGATCGGTGTGGGCTCGCGGGGGTATTCCAGCCCGCCCCACCTCTAAATCTTCCCCTGCCATCCATCATGCGATGGTTCTGAGGAACCAAAGGCCATGAGTTCGAATCGCGTAATTGTATTTTGTTAATTTTTTTAAAGACATTTTAATATGGTAGAAATTATTTAATCTAATTATTTAAAAAAATTCTCTTTTATTATGAGGCTGTCTCTTATACACATCTAGATGTGTATAAGAGACAGGATCCGATGCCCTGTCTCTTATACACATCTAGATGTGTATAAGAGACAGTATATATATACTTCAGGTCGTTATAATAGTGAAAATGAAAAAAAAATCTTCTGATAAATGTTTATGATATGTGTGAGACCAGCACACCTTTAACTTAGATCTTCAATTAAGTTTTACCTAGATGCGTCCTTACGGGCATAGTCCTTTCCCAGTGAGTATTCTTCTAAGTCCTGATTGCTCAATGTTTTCTTCCTTGCCTTCTGTAACAGATTCGTCATCTTGCTTAGCATGGGAAATATGCAGCGACGATTACCCATTGTATCTAGAATAATAAATACATACAAAAATACAAAATATATATGCATGGTGTTTTGCCTAATCGTACTACGAATCCAACCCTGCCCCCTGTGACAGTCTGAACGGATCTTTATTAAAAACGATCAGTTGCACGCGCGTCGTGACGTTGCATTCTTCGTAGAATTGCGTTAACCAACGACCGTCGGGCGCAGTGAGTGCCCGGCATAACCCCACACTAACGTTTCAAAACACTTGTAAAACAAAATTCGTGTGGGAATTAAAAGACCAAAAAAACCTATCTGGTATTCAACTAGACCACAGTGCTTATACGTAGTGGTTGTGTTTGCAGTCGATCTCAAGTATCACTGCATTAAATGACTTATCGAGAAATATTCCATTCAATTAACAATTACATTAACATCAATGAAATTCACTCAATTATTTACAATTCATTCAGTTATAAATTCTAGCTAATATGTCGGAACAATTAAATGAAAAGTACCAGCGATTTGCTATTGAATTATTAATACTGTATCTTGCTGTGGTTCTTATAATTATAGCGATTCTTTATGATAGACTTTTAAATATAACATTAAGAATCTCCTCCGTAAGTCATTGTCTCAGAATTTGTCATTTAACTTTTAACTAAGTGTCAAAGTGACGTTTTTAATTAATGTACGTTTATGTAGGCCTATTGACATATGCTCCAATCGATAATTTCATTTGGTAGGGTACCGTATATTGTGATGTTCAAATCAGTAGTTGTACCAAAGAGAACGGCTACATCTCCCATCCTCCCCATCCCTCATCGAGGAAAATAGCGACATTTTGTTCTGGTTAAAAATGCTATTGTCAGAGTTGAAAATATATATTTCACTACTTTTAATCTATTCAACAACAGAGATAAATACATTCCGATAATTTAGTTAATAAGAAGAATCAATATTAGGATAAACTATTAGAAGGCATACTTGTTTCAAGAGATCAAAACTTGTTTTAAGTTTTAACCGCACGGGCTTTTTAAATGTTTGTTATTAAATACTTTCTTACTCTAAAGTTTTTCCGGTGTATATCATTTTTACCAATTTATAGATTTCTAAAACTTTTTATTACAAAGTTTTTACACTTTTATTTCTTGTACATTTGTCTCAATTTTAGCGACATTCACATATCATAAACATGGCTCTCTCTATGTCTTTAATTTAATAAAAGAAAATTACTCATGTTAACTGATGGAAATGGACTAAAAATTACGAGTACTTATAATATCAATATTATTATAATAGTTGTTAGCGTTAACGAATAGCATCATACAATTATTGGGTGGGCCTACCGTAGTTTCACCAACAGTGACTTCTAGTACCTAACGGAGTATGCCGACATAGGCCTACAGCTCATTGAGATTTGATCAATTTATATAGGCCCTATGTCTAGTAGGTCTATAGTATTGTTACTATTGTGAGCGAATGTTTTGTTTATTGCAGGGAACAGTTAAATTTAACAGTAATTTAACTGTTCACTGGTTTATTGTGATATCTGATTGCGTCCCGTATAGGCCTATATATTGATATAGAAATCGGCAGATATTAGGCCTATTTTCCTGAACTTAATCGAAGCGTCGGGACATTCTCAACCAACAACAGTTCTTTTCAGAACTATCTACGTAACGTACCGCAAGCATTAATAATAGAAGTATAAGCTTGTAGAAATTGTCCACCAACATTTCAAAAACATAATCAGTTCACGATGATGCTTTTCCGGGCTGACATTTTAAATTGCCACTTAATTGGTGGTTGGAAAATATCATAGTACCTATAGGGTTCTATTTTCGAAGCCGACTTTAACCGCGGAGATCCACATGTCTTCATTAGTTTTAGGTTACTGTAGGTTATTTTAAATTGGTTTTAATTTAAGAATTCTACAATCAATAGCTCCACATACATTTACATAATTTTTGAATTATAATAGGACTAAGTAAAAAAATCTAATGAAAACAGGCCACCTTTAGATCATGGAAGAATCATAATAGGAGGAGCGTAATAATAACTATCATTATAAATATAAGCCTACTGGGTTATCCAAATAATAAACTATAAGGAGACCTACCTCGTGCGTATCGGCCACGATTCATTAAATTATATAAATGAAGATGAGATTCGATCAATGAGGAATTTATATATCTCCTTGATGTGACTAGATTTCAGCCTACCTGGTTATCTGTACACGTTTCATTCATAGGCCTAAATGAAAATGAAATTTGATGTTATTCGACTGTAGACTCCAGCCTACCCGGTCATTTGTGCTGTATGATTGTGTTTTGAATGAAAGTACAGGTATGCGTTCTTGTTTGTACATCTATACTCATGAGGTTTCAAATACAATTGCATATACATACATGTTAAGTCCCATTTACACTAGACACGCTTACGATACGACAATACATCATCGCGTAGCTTGTATTCTTCAACCATGGACCTATTATTAAGACCTTATTAATAGGTCCATGCTTCAACACTGCGCGCATCTATATCGTGTCGTTGTCGTGTCGTAATCGTGTCTAGTGTAAATGGGGCTTTAAAGATGTGTACATAATGATCTGTCCAACTCATATCAATAAAAAGATAACCAATAACATAGATGTTCTTTCTTTTCTTTTCTCCTTTATTCAAAGTTTTAGAGCGTATTCAGTTAAGTCCCTAATCATGTTAGCAGTCATCATACAGTAGATATTAAGATGGCTTGGTCATGCGTATCGCTCAATACATGAAGGACGGTTAAAAAAGACATCATGGAGAACTTACTTCTGCCAGTATTATTCCAATTCATGGGAAATCAAAAGCACAGGGAGGAATGTTTTGAGTTAAGGTAAAGTATTTTGATAATCAGTGGATCGAGACATTGAACAGAAGAAAAAAAAGGAAGCAAATCAACACCAATATAATGGACAACATCATGATGGATAGGCCTATGTGTGTGTGAAGTTTCATTAAGTATACAAATCCAGAACAAGGTTAATTAGCTATTAAAGAAAATGTCTTTAACTACCTGTTTAATTAAATAAATAAATAAACGTCGAGATATTCTCAACCAACAACAGTTCTTTCAGAACTATATACGTGGTGTAGGCCCCTACATACCGGAAGCATTATTACATAATTATTACTTCGCCATGCAAACCTTCAAACAATATCTTCTCATTTTTCCTAATTTGACAGATTAAATTTGAGAGTTTATTTGTATTCATCAACAATATTTTATTCTTACACCTCCCAAAAAATAGAAGTCAGAAATCAACCCGTTTTGTCTATAAAATTTAGTTTCATCTATTGGAACACAATGCCCTGCCAGTTTTTGATTTATGTAGGCCTAATTTTAATTCATCTACGACATTCCTGAACTAAAAAAAAACAATCTTATCAGCAGGGGTTGCCACTAAATTTTAAAATTTCAAGGCATATATTGCAATTAGCGCTTTCACTTATCTATTCAGAATATATTGAGGAGCTCATCCGCCTTTTGTTCTATTTTTTTTCTTTTATTCCTGCTGGGTGACCATCCACAATTCCACTCAAAAGCCGTAAATTGGGTTGCCAGTTAGTGGGTTTTTCTAGATCCATCTTGGGAATTTTCAATTTTACTAGTGACCACATTGAACATTAGTCATACGGGTTATTATATTCGTGTACCTGTTGTATTGTTTGGAAAATGATGACTATTGCAGTTGTTCATAAACTATTGCGTTATCCCATCTTGGTATTCTTTATAAATTATTTTTATTGATAGACTAACTTGAAATTAGAAGTCTGTTATCTTTTACCTCAATGCACACATTGTACAGTATTAAAATGTCAATAGTCTACAAACGTTTGTTTTTCCATGTTCTTTTCACTATCTGACGTGACGTGCTATCGAAACTCGCATGTTCCAATCATCCAATTATAACAAGTTTTGTTTGGTTGCATTTTTTTTTCTTTTTTTCTTTTTTTTTTTGTAGAATAGTTATCAGTGAATATAAAAAGTATGCAACATTTCTTTTTCATGTGCAAGGGGATAACCAGGAATTTCAGGGGCGGATCCAGAAATTCCAAAAAGGGGGGGGGGGGGGGGCCGAAAGTGGGGCGGATTGAGACAACACTGTCGTAGGGGGTCCGGGGGCATGCCCCCGCGAAATTTTTGTGTTCTAGACGCCCGAACATGACATTTGAGGCATTCTTGGCCATCATTTTTTCCTTTTTCTCTCTTTTTTTTCTTTTTTTTTTCTTTTTTTACCTCCCAAAGAGGGGGGGGGGGTTCAAACTCGGGAGTGAGGTGCTTCCCTGCTGTAGTTTTAATGTGACGAGGGTCAATGCAAGACCCGTGGCTATGAAGGACACGTCAGGAGGTTGCAGAACTTTTGTTTCGAACCTTGTTTTTGTGGCCAGTTCACCCACCCTGAAAGAAAGCGCGAAAAAGTTTCCTATTTTAATGAAGGTTGCCAAAATTTTGGTAACAAGGTAAAACACGCCTTATTCGGTTAGTGTCAAGAATTAAAGTGACCATGTGCTGGCCAAAAGGTTGCGAATGATAATTTCTTATTAATTTAATTACGTTGTCACAACTTAGCTGTACACAGGGCTATCTATGCACACGAATCGTCCCTGTGCGTTCACACCAGCGAATTTATCTTGTCTCCAAATTTACCTCTAGTACCTGGACGCCACAAGCATTCGTTGACAATTGGGGGCGTCTGTCTATATTGACGTGCTCGCTACCCATCGTAATGATGATAATAATACTGTAGTAATAGTGATAGTTATACTGTAATTGTTGATATTAATGATATTGATGATGTTGATCGTGGATCCACTTGGTCTAAGCGAAGTACAATAATGGAATTGCGAACAAAAAATCCAGATCCAGTGATAATTGAGAATATTTAGAATTGCAGATAGAAAACAGATTGTCTTGAATCAAATTTTATTAAAGTAAGACTGATACAACATGGGAAGCCTATCAGAAATTCAAATAAAACATTCAATAGCTATTTTATTATAATCAAATAAGCTATCTTCGATGCAATCAGCAAGGTTCTCTTGTTCGGCCGACCAATCAGCAACGCCCAAAGCTGTCAACGATAGCGCGTAGCGATTTTATGGAAACCGGGCCTTAGCTTTCACTTTCAGACTTCTTGATAATAAAAATCCTTTAAATTGATTACCAGCCAAGTTCAATACAAAAAATATAAAATTAGTATTAAATATTATATACGTCATCATGTACCCCATGAAACAATAATAATCCGACTAGTCTATAAGTGTTCTTATTGGCCCCAACTGTTCATTTGTTTATAAATATATATCTAATGAGAACAAAATTGTAACAGCAATGGTGCAGTGTTCTCCCCTGGAAGCATCATGGTACCATGATGCCTGGGACTTTACCCATGATGCTTGACAGTTGGCCATGATGCTTGGAACATCTTCCATGATCCTTTTATCAGGGAACAGTTAAATTATTTAACTGTTCCCTGCTTTTAAATAATCTTTTAAAGTGCAATTTAGGACATTTCAATGCCTCCCAATTATTAAAAATACCTTGTGTCAATCCCAACAATGGTGGAATTAAATCCATTAATTTACTGTTAGATTGTTCACATTTAAGAGAGAGGGGGTTGATGCTCAGGCACCATGAAAACCCCTTGGTTACGGTGCTGAACAGGCCACATGAATTAGCCCTATTTCTCAATTAAAACATTACACTTTTCCCATTTCTCCCTTTTCTGTATGTGGTTAAGTTTTCTCTAAATTATTTCTCTTTTTCTTAGCAACAATGTTATTTATAATCATCATAGCACCACGCCTGTAATCTGCATGATTTAACCTTTTTTACTTTCTTGATTCATTAGTTCTTCTTTTTTCTTTGCATATAAATCATGATCAATCTTCTCTGGGCTGATTCTTTTCTTCTCCATTTCTTTCCAGACTTTTTCAAGTTGAGAGAAATCTGAAGCCCTTTGGAGCTTCTTACGTATAACAAACTGTTGCATATCTTTAGCAGACATTAATTTGCACGTATCAATACTACATAAGTTTTCTGTTTGGCTCAAATCTAATGTTGGTAGGAATGTGAATCCAGTCTTTTTTTCTAGATCTTCAAGTGGAACTTGATATTCAGTGAGATTTGCATGATCACTGGAGATTGGTTGATTGGGAACAATGAAAGCACCAACACCTACAAGTTTGCTTGACGTATTTTCAACAGTAACAATCTTGTACAAATGAGTTGGAACAGCGACCTGGTGAGCACCAACCACCTTTAATGTGATACATAAAAATATAATTTAATAAAAAGAAATTAATTATTATTAAATTATATTTTTATGTATCACATTAAAAATATAATTTAATAAAAAGAAACTAATTAAATAATTAGCAAATATAGCAATTAGATCTACGAATTCAAAATAAATATTTTTATTAATTTAATTAATTTATTTAATAATAATATTGTAAATATGATGACAATTAATGTCGAAATATTGAATCCCTACACGATAGCGTGCATTTCAATACTTGGAGTATGTTTTATACTTTCTTATCTGAGATTAATCAGTGGACCTTTCGGTAAAGAACCTCTGAAACAGAAACTAAAAATTATGATTTCTCTTTCTTCTTCTTTATTGTATACGCAAAAAAACAAACAAATGGTATACAATAGGAGCCAAGAAATAGACAAGTCTAATCGAGCTTGGCCCCTTTCTTAACTATCCCCCTCAGCCCCAATAAATAAAATAGAATAAAATAAATATATAAATAAAATAATGAAAATAAATAAATAGACATCAATCTTCATACTCGGAATAAAGTAATTTTTTCAGTTTTGAAACAAATACATTCCTCGAGGTAGTCTCTCTTAACTTAACAGGTATTGTATTCCAGAGTTTAGCACCCATATAAGAAATTCTAAATTTACCTAAATTAGTTCGGCATTTTGATATGGCTAAATTATATTCGTAATTAAACCTTGTTGCATAACTATGACAAATATTTTCAAAATAATCAGATAAACTATGTGGTAATCTGTTATTAAATAAATCTGATATAAAATTCAAAATATATAATTTATGAAGCTTAAATACGTCTAAAATGTTAAGTTTTTTAAATAAAGGTAGAGAATGAGCCCTAAATTTAGAAAAAGTAATACATCTGGCACAAATTTTTTGAGTGAGTAATAAAGGTTTTAAATGCGATTCGTAGGTGCTGCCCCATACCTCAATACCAAAAATCAAGTTGGGTAAAATAAAAGAATTGTAAAGCATAACCAATGTTTCCTCAGGGACACAATGCCGTAACTTAAATAAAAAACCAGCTCTCTTTTTTATTTTATTGTTTAAATCAGATATATGTTCTTTGAAACTAAGGTATTTATCGAGTTTAACGCCAACAAAATAAACAGATTTACATTCAGAAATTAAGCTTGTATTAATCCTAATGGAGCCGAACGTTGTAATAACTTTATTTTTTGACTGAAAGATTATATAATTAGTTTTATCGGCATTTATTGTTAATTTATTGGAGTTGCACCACTCAATGATCTTTTTTGAGATCTAATATATTCCCGGAAAATGATTTAAATAAGTTTGTATCGTCAGCAAACAACCTGAAATCAAAAAAATTTGAAGAGCTTGGTAAATCATTTATATAAATTAAAAAACATAACTACTCCCAGTACTGATCCCTGAGGAACACCACAATGTATATGTAATTTATTTGAGACACACCCACCAGAGGAAACAAACTGAAACCTGTTGCTGAGATAATCAGGTTTTGTATTAGATATACTACACACTAATTTACTTATCTTACAGTATTAGTTCTTTCTGTGTTATTGTTCTTTATTTGTTTTTCTATGACCAGTTTCCATATAAGTTTATGCAATGTTGACACTTGTTGTTTCTTTGTTTAAAACAATCGAAAAGAATACTCTGTATCACTTCTGTATTTATGAAAATCAATCTACTTAACATAAATTCAAGAGTTGTACTTCAACAAAAGTCGTGGCCTACAAATTGATTTTTTTCACTTATATTTTAAAATTATAAAACATAAATAATTAATTATTAACTAATGAATCTTATATACTAATTAAATCTTAATATTTAATTACATTGAAGAACAAAATCATTTAACATATCCCATGGTAACACATCGAGAAAATTAAGACATTAAAATTTAAATTAAAAGAACAAACCTCATATTTCATGAATAATTTTCCATCTTCCTTAAGGCTGGGAACAAACAATGGTCCACTAATGATACGAACATCATCAAAGCGTTGGGTAAGATCTCTACAGTAGATTTCAAAACGATTCCAGAAATCTCGATTATTATCAATGTCTTGGGGAACAATATTGGAGAACAAGAATGTATCATTCATTGCAACCTGGGAAGGGAAAAATACAATAATTACAAATATCAAAAATGAGTTTATTACAAGTGTGGTGAAATTCAATATTAAGAAAATGAAAAGTGGCAAAACTGGCTAAAAATAACACAATTGAAAAATTGGTATAATAAAAATGGTAACACACATTACATACAAGAATGTCAGAGAAAGTAATTACTAGTAATCATCAGAAAAACAACTTTAATTGAAAATTATTGACTTTAAATTGATCTAAAAATGGCAAGCCATTTATTGTACAGGGCAGGAACAAATTTTTAAGGCGGCTTTTAAAGACAAAATTTTGCTTAAGGTGCCACTAACAATCACCAAATTTGTGTTTATGGTAACACCTCTAATGTTAAAATGAATAGTAGGAACCTACTTATATATCATACCTGACTATATTTGCTATCAGAAGCAGGTGCCATGTGACCCCTTGACCAGCCACTGTTTTTGTAGTCACTGTTTGATGATCTAAATAACTCAGGGATATTTGTATCCTCTTTGAAATGTGAATGTTTACGTACAGCAGAGCCTGAGGAAAAGCAGACAAGATATTTATTAATGCATTGCAAATGCAAGGATGTGGTAAGGAATGCTAAAATTGCTCAATTGGCTTCAAAATAGATGTTATATCTATTTTAAACAACTTTAGTATTTCATATAAATAATACTTGAAAGTTCAGTATACATAAATATTATTTTAAACAATGTAATAAATATTTTCTTTTATAAAAGCAAATGGCACCAACCAAAGAATGTTGGTAGTTACTATATCCATTTAAAAAATGTAGATATACAATCTCCCTGGGATGGTATCGTTTGATATCAATAGTATGTCAAGGCTCTGTACATTTCTATTGTAATTTGTGATTATTGTTTTGAAATTTTTTGTATATATTGCATATTTAAAATATATTTTTATGTTTGAAAACAAGTATTTAAATAATATAAAAACTAATGATTCAATTAAATTAATTAGAATGAACTTCTGATAAATAATTGAACTGTATGCTAAATTGTTCTTATTGATAATTGAATGGAATGTAACTTTTTTTCTAGACACCTATTGATGAATTGCTATTAAATTATATTTTTGTAGTTAGGTAGAATATAAGGCTCAGTTCATATGGTTTCACCATTCAGATGGTCAACTGTTATGTGCTCAGCCACCCAGTTAGGAATTCTCTTCTCTTGATCAAATCCTATCACATGATTTATATAAAAGCGCACATCCTGTCCTCTGTCTGGTGCCCCATATTTAAGAATTGATGCTCCTCGTAACTCTTTCTGTTTATCAACTAGCAAAAAATAAAAATAATAATAATGGTTAAAGACAAATAAAAAGATGGAGCTATTATAAGATGGTTCTAGATGCCACTAATGTATGCCTCCATTTATTATTTCTATTATTCAACCATACCCTACAAAGATGTGGATCCCCACCCTTGCCATGTAATTTCTTCCCCAGGAAGATTCCCTACATCCCTCTGTCTTGAGGATCGTATTTCATATTCCTGTATGTGTAATTTCGAACCATCATGTTGAATCCCTGTTAATTAGAATTCTCAAATTGTGATCACTTTTAATAGTAAAGTGATGCTATCTTAAGTGAACTTAAGTGTATGTGAAATTCCCACAATGACTCCCAGGAAATTACTCACGTCCTTTCTTGGTTGCCTAATTTGTGTATTTTCTTGTAGGAAATTATTATATAATACTAATACTACTCTAGGCCTAGGCCCTAGCCCTAGTAATTTTAAAGATAGGCCTAGGCCAGTGAGCGCCTATTTACCTGTATGATGAGTAGGCCTAGGCCTAGACAGGCCCTTTTTATAGTAGTACTAATAGTAGTAGTACTAAGTAGTAGGCTAGAGAAAGAGTCGTGCCTTGGCTTGGTCATAATATAGGTTTGAGCGCTTAGGGGCTAGGAGAATGATGCGACATGATGATGACGGAAGCCTAAACTAGCAGCAACATAACACTAGGCTTATGCATGGAGTTATAATTATTTTGAAACTCCGAGCACTATGTATGGGGGTGGGGGGGGGGGCTAGCCCTACCTTCTGTTTTCGTATCACATCTTTTGATTGTGTCGGTATATGAATCATCTTTGTTTTTTTGCTGAACCAAACCCACAAATCCAATTAAAATAAAAGATGACGTTGCACCAAAAACTAAGTTCTTCCGAATAAAGCTGCAACAACCCCGAAACATACCGTTGTGTCCACTGATCTCTACTATTAGAGATCAGTGGTTGGTAGACTTGCCCCAAGTCTCTAATTACAGCAAAGATACTAGAAATACAAGATAGAGTTCTCCACACAAAAAAAGTGTTCCACCGTGTTCCACCGAAATGCATGGTGGGAATACGAAAAATGGGACGCCCCCTACAGCTGGATCTAAAAAAACTTGTGCCAAACTTTCGTTACCAAGTCGTCGCGTATTTTATTATCAATTCTTAACAAAGATACTAGATATAATAAACAAACTGGAAAGACACCCAGACAGTGACATCGGTGAATACATAACCTCCTTGGTTTTCTAGTATCTTTGATTATAGGTTTTCCTAGTATCAGTTAATTTTGGAGAGCGCCACTAGCGACGGTATATATCGAGAAACTTTTATGCGAATTAGAGACTTGTAAAAGAGTGAGTCAAATCGATTGCAGATCGCTGGCCGTGACAAGCATGACGTAATTTTTAGGATGCCGTATTTGGCAATAGAGTGAATGTTATGACGGAAGGTCAACCAATCAAACGGTTCTCGTTTTGGTGCCACGAATGTAGAGAGGAGTCAGGAAGTTGGGACATAGCTCCGTGCAGGTGCGTGGACTATCGTGGTTTTATTTTAGTGGAGGAAAAAAAACACCAACCGAAACGCCAAAAAAGCTGTATTCCAGAGAATTTTTTGTTCTGCGCACAATATCGAGTGCGTGGAAAAGCTGCAGTCTAGAAAGTGGTTGTATTGCGAACCGTCTTGGTTCACGCGAGGCTCAGTATTTTAAAGACTACAGTAGAACCAAGGTAGAACATAAATGTCCACCACAATAGGCCTAGGCCGACGGAAAAGATGTCATGCTGTACCTGCAACACAAAATTGAAGACAAAGGATACCTGGATAAGCTACGGGAGTGGTCGAGGGTACGTTTACGTATTTTTAAAAACAAGTGAATGTCACCAAAAAGAGGAGCAGCCCGTCTGTATTCCCAAGAGCAAAGATAAATTTGATTAGCGCGGTAGGCGAAACATGAACTAACCACCTAGGCCTACTGCTGGTGTAGTGGACGGGACGATCCTGGCCTAGTATGACTCGTCTCTAGATAAAATGATGATGGTACCAACGAGGCCGAAACTAATGTAAAGGTGCGTCAGTCTTAATTAAAATACTTATTAGAATTCTGTGTTTATCTTTCATTTATTGTTAAGATAATATAGTGAAACAAAGTAAGATAAAATGTAAACCATAAAACTACTTTTTAGGAAGGCTATGGTTTGTTTAAAGCAAATCAATTTAGTTAGGAAAGTATCAGATATCATTTTTTTTAGTAATTTTAAAAATGGACCTTAATTTAAAAATCAAATAAATAGCCCCCATCACTCCTTTTGTCTGACTCTTGCGAGTGATTGTGAATGCACTTGCTATTGTAAATTGCTTAATAATTAATTGTACTTATTCTTCAGTTTTCAATCAGTTGATGGAATTTATATTTTCCCAGATATTCACAAAAAGTCGCAGCCCTATTTCTATCTGGAGGTACACTAATTTTAACCATAGCCTATTGGCTAACATATATTTAATTGCTATTAATAATTCAAATTTTCACTATGAGACTGAATGAAATTTGTTGACACTTTACAGGGATCTCTATGACATTAAAAATTTATCAATACTATAATATATAATCATAAAATAATGATAAGGTCTATGTTAAATGTGCCATGGTTATGGAAAGTGGTCATGCCTATATGAAAATTTGGCTAGGACATAGTTTGACAAACTATTCATAGTTAAATAAATATATATATATATATAATTTGTAATTATAAAATGCCTATTGTTTTTATTTTACAGGTTTATCTCATATAGTTTTATCATATACAGTACTGATGTTGCTGAAATTGTTGATGATGATGTGATTAAAATTGATATTGTTGTTTAGATCTATTTAATTGTTTTGCAGGAATGGATATTCTGTGAATAGTCCAGCCGGATTATCCCCACTGCCACTTCCATCAATTAACAGAGGATATAATACCACAGCCCTTTTACTTAATTCGATGCTGAGTTATGAATCTTGAGACACTTAGCATCTGATGGAGAAGCACAAACGCCTGTAAACCAAACCCAATGCATTTCGATATTAATTGTACTGAAGTATACTTATGATAATGAAGAGTTAAATACAGTATAATCCTTCCTGTATTCTTTTGCATTGACCCTTAAATTGACTAGTAATTAATATTGTAAATTATTTGTTAATTAGTGAAAACTATTTTTTGTCCTGAAGCAGTTAAATATATATGGTAAAACACTAAAAGATCAACAAATAAAGTTTGATATCTGAAATCACTGTGGTTTAGATCTTTTTTTTAGTTTTGTACCATGACAGTTACAATGTATTTTAATCCAAATACATGCAACTAAATCGTTTTTTCATTACCTGCAATGTAGCCTCTTTATTTTTACAAATTAAACAGAATGATTAATTTATTGAAAAATAAATCTGATAGCTATGGAGATCAGAACAATTCAGTGTAACTTAGAAATAATACAAGAAAAAAAAATTGATACTAAAGGGTGAAATATGTGTTGATGAATTTAAGATTAAAATATAAATGTATTGCAAAACAAATGGATGTTATGAAATTAAATAAATTAGGCCTCCTTGTTGGCCAACATACTGTACAATGTAACAATAATCTTTCTCATTAAACATTTTAAATCTCGGAAATACAGCTTATGCAAAAGATGCGAATAATTGTCCATAGATACGATGATATTCACCCATTCGTACGTAGCAAATTGAGGTTCCTAAATCTTAGCCAGTTTGAAAAAATAAATATTTATATTATTATTAATGTTATATTAACTACAACAATTACATTACTGTATGTTAAATCTAATACGTAGGCCTATTTCCAATCGATGTCTGCCAACCCGACGTGAATAGGGCCTACTGGGTGCAGGTCAACTCGGCCACAAGTCAACTCGGCCACAAGTCAACTCGGCCACAAGTCAACTCGGCCACAAATCAACTCGGCCACAAAAAGTTCAGCTACAGCCAACTCGGCCACAAGTCAACTCAGCCACAAGTCAGCTCGGCCACAAATCAACTCGGCCACAAGTCAACTCGGCCACAAGTTATTTAATGTAAATCGTAGTTTTTGCATCCTTTTTCTTCAATATATGATTGAAATAAAGTACACAGTATGTTTTAGTAAAACAGACCACCACACTACCAAAAGAGATTTGAATGCTATTGTCTATGAATTAAAAAGAGTTATTTATTAATGTGTTCGTCTTCTGTTTACTCACAACATTCTACTTCAACAATAATATTAAACAACAATAAAATAGTAATATTTACATTAATAATACTAATTAGCCATTATGACGATAATAAAGGTGATAATAACAACAACAACATTAATAGTAATATTTATTTTAACAAATAGTAATAATACTAGAATGGTAATAATAACGATATTTAAATATCAATTTTAATAACTAATTAGTGATAATAACGATATTGAAGGTGATAATAGCAATAATACAACAATAATAAATTAAAGATAATGTTTATTTTTATAATAATAGTAATACTAATTAGTAATAATACTAATAATGATACTTATAATACTAGGCCTACTTAGTAATAATAGGGTAATAATATCGATAATAAAGGTGACAACAACAATAATATTAATAATAATAATAATATGAGAAAAATACTAATAAAACGCCAATAACAACAACTTTTTAAATTACTATTAAAATTATAATACTAAGACTAATAAATAATAATAGGCCTAATAATATGAATAATAATAATAAAAAATCGAAAATTATTTATTATTTATATGGTACTGTAATAATAATACTATCATCAAAAATTTGAACAATATATAATGTTAATGCTAAGACTAATAATTAATATTAAAACTAACGGCAATAAAAACAACAATAATAACAGCAATAATAATAATTAGTACAATGTAGTACCAGTAAATGACTTGTGGCCGAGTTGACTGTAGCCAAACTTTTTGTGGCCGAGTTGACTTGTGGCCGAGTTAACTTGTGGCCGAGTTGACTTGTGGCCGAGTTGGATCGAATTCATTGTGCTCTCTAGGCTAGGCCTAAACCTGAATGTGCTGAACCCGGCGAGAAAACATGAGTTTGGCTGTATCATATCGATATAGGCCTATCGATAATAATACTGTATTTATTAACTGGCGTGAAGTTGGTTACTTTCTATGTGGCACACTTCTGTAAAGATGCGTATACTATAAATATTACCTCCATACATGGTTGGACCATGGTTGGACGAATTGGTGAAGCATTATTAGCATGTTTAATTTATGCCGCCGTAATTAGCCAATCGGAAATCAAAGTTGTTTAATACGTCACCCACCATGAAATCGTGGTGGCTGCAATCGAAATCCTCACTGTTTGCCCGGGTGACAGACGATCGGGCACACGAGACGATCGGGCACAGACGCAAAATACAATTGATTACAATGAGTATTTTTATTTTAGTACCCTGCAAGTGTTGGCTGTATTCCTGATAGTGTGTGTTCTGGCTGAATGTGTCTTTGCTGACGCCTTACCTGATGAAAATGGTACGTTTCACCAGCACATGTCAAGATGCGATAGTTTAGAAATATTTAATATATTTTATTACCAGCTGAATTGTAATTTTGTTTGCAATTAATATTTTCAAATATAAACATAACCTGCGAAAAAACTTGTCATTTCAACGTTGGATATGTTTAACTTTGCTCTTATTCTCCTTTCTTGCTGGCGTATTTTTGAAACGTGTATTTATGTATATTTTGTCCGGTCCTAATTAAATTCTATATACTGTACTTCTCCACATCAACTGCCACGATAACAAGGACAAAATTTAAAGTTGATGTTGTTTTTTGTTTTTATAAAAATATTTTCAGAATTCGCAATACAGCCACTAATACGAATATTTAAAATCATTGTTCTCCTTTTACTTTTACTTTTTATTATCTATTTCAATTTCGTCTTGTAGAGCTTGTAAAGCAAACTAGAATTCAACAAGACATAGGTGAGTTGTCCAGGAAATTTTGGTTGCTTGATTTTTTTTTTTTAATTTATTTATTTATTTATTTATTTTTTGCTACATTTTGTTTAAAATGAATATAGTTGTAGAATAGACATCACTGAATATAAAAGTAGGCCTATGTGCCACAATTTTTAATGCGCAATGCTGCTACCCAGCAATTTCAAATGGCCGCTATTTGCAAGCATTTTATTACCAATAATTGTACGTTTATGACATTACGATATGCTAATATATTATACAAAAATATCATGAGGGAACGAAATATTTCGTTCCCTCGAAATAATATTTCCCTTTAGGGGCTCCGTATGTAAGTGACAATTAAAATGAAAATAATACTTTACATCAAATTTGCAAAATTCAATTTAAAAATATCCGCTAATTTAATCATTTTAGCTATTTTTAGCATATATTTAATATAAGAAATTAATGATTTAATTAAATAAACAAAAAAAAAAATACCCCTTCCACTATGCAAATGTGTCAAAAAGTTACATATCAAATATGAATTTAGTTTGTTTTCCAAAATAGCACTGTCAAAACCTGCCCCTGTTAACTATCATGACAAAAAGGTAAACACCACATAACATACACTTTCATGTTGGTTAAAAGCAGTTTCATTTATTACACAATACAACGAAAGAAAAATATGATATCATTATTACATTACATACATTACAGCAGATTCATCCAGGTATCGGCGGATAAATTAATATTTAAGTTTGCGTTTAATTTACTCCACGACAAATGAGATCCAACTACGATTGTAGCATTCCTAAAGTGAGAAAAATATAAAAGCCTATACTATAGTTTGGTACTGGAAAAGGCTTTTAGGTGCAATACAAAATTAGGGAGCTATCGACTGCAAGACGAGGGTAGGACGTAGAACGTAATGACGTCACTAAAGTCATCTGCGTATGCGAGAACGTTAAGGCCACCTCGTCGAGTAGATTCTGGAACGCAATTTGGCCAAATCTACGTACGCAGGGAACGTAGGACGCTAGGTAGGACGGTCACACATGAGTGATTCCGTTCTAGCGTCGCGTCGTCGCACAAATCGAAAGCTTCCTATTGAAGGAAGGTGATAATCAGTGTGAAAACACTACATACCCTGTCTCTTATACACATCTTTCTTCCGAATAAAGCTGCAACAACCCCGAAACATACTGTGTTGTGTCCACTGATCTCTACTATTATTAATATAGTTATGTAGAGATCAGTGGTTGGTTGTGTCTCGAGAATCTGCTGAACTTCCTGCTTCCTTCCCTCAAACTGCAATGTATCCGCTCAAACACCTCTATCATCAAATCACATTAAATCACGTCAACTCGCGTCTGCAAAAAGAAATAATAATAAAGTTTGAAATATCACGATTTCTAGAAGAAATAATATAATAGCAATTTGGCTAATTTATTATAAAAATCATTAGTCGAGATGAAGTTTGAGAAACAAAACAATATTAATAGTGAATTTTAATTCATTAGTTTTTTTACCTAATTTTTTTGCCGCTTGATCAGGGAACATGGTATGTCGGATGTGGGTCCAGGGGAATATCAACAGAGATTATGGTTCCCGGGATGTAAACATAATGCTTTTGAGACAACAGTTTTAGGGATTGCAATCACAAAACGGATCGACAAATATTGTTTACAGTATTCCAGGGAGTTGTTATATAACAACTCCCTGAGTATTCCAACAAAACCTGCCTCTGGCTACGCGATCGGGCTATGACTCCGAGTGTGAGTCATGCAAGGGGCCCTGCTATAGACGAATCAAAGGAATCATCATGGTCACCTCAGAGACAAACATAGAGAAATATTTTATAATATTTTGTTCTTTAGGTCTATGCCAATTTCTCCTATTTCTCAGGGGCGGATCCAGAAATGTCCAAAAGGGGGGGGGGGGCCGGAAGCGGGGGCCGAAAGTTGGGCCGATTGAGACAACACTGTCGTAGGGGGTCCGGGGGCATGCCCCCGCGAAATTTTTGTGTTTTAGACGCCCGAACATAACATTTGAGGCATTCTTGGCCATCATTTTTCCCTTTTTCTCTCTTTTTTTTCTTTTTTTTTCTTTTTTTACCTCCCAAAATGGGGGGGGGCCCCCGCCCTAAATCCGCCCCTGAATTTCAAAATGGCCGTCATTTGTAAATATTTTATTACCAATAATTGTACGTTTATGACATTACGATATGCTAATATATTATACAAAAATATCATGAGGGAACGAAATATTTCGTTCCCTCGAAATAATATTTCCCTTTAGGGGCTCCGTATGTAAGTGACAATTAAAATGAAAATAATACTTTACATCAAATTTGCAAAATTCAATTTAAAAATATCCGCTAATTTAATCATTTTAGCTATTTTTAGCATATATTTAATATAAGAAATTAATGATTTAATTAAATAAACAAAAAAAAATACCCCTTCCACTATGCAAATGTGTCAAAAAGTTACATATCAAATATGAATTTAGTTTGTTTTCCAAAATAGCACTGTCAAAACCTGCCCCTGTTAACTATCATGACAAAAAGGTAAACACCACATAACATACACTTTCATGTTGGTTAAAAGCAGTTTCATTTATTACACAATACAACGAAAGAAAAATATGATATCATTATTACATTACATACATTACAGCAGATTCATCCAGGTATCGGCGGATAAATTAATATTTAAGTTTGCGTTTAATTTACTCCACGACAAATGAGATCCAACTACGATTGTAGCATTCCTAAAGTGAGAAAAATATAAAAGCCTATACTATAGTTTGGTACTGGAAAAGGCTTTTAGGTGCAATACAAAATTAGGGAGCTATCGACTGCAAGACGAGGGTAGGACGTAGAACGTAATGACGTCACTAAAGTCATCTGCGCATGCGAGAACGTTAAGGCCACCTCGTCGAGTAGATTCTGGAACGCAATTTGGCCAAATCTACGTATGCAGAGAACGTAGGATGCCAGGTAGGATGGTCACGCGTGAGTGATTCCATTCTAGCGTTGCGTCGTCGCACAAATCAAAAGCTTCCTATTGAAGGAAGGTGATAATAGATCAGTGTGAAAACACTACATACCTTATTTTTACAAGACTAATCGTTCATAATCGTAAGTAGAAAACAATTTTAAAGATTCGGACCGGGTTAATCTTTGGCGATCATATTGGTAACAACTTAATAGAACTGTCAAATTACAATTAATTAACTTGCCATATAATGAAGAAACCAGAATTTGAAAGTCCAATCTTTTGCCAAACAGTCCGGGGCTAGGCAAATCGTCGGTAGTGTGCTCTCAATTTGTGTGTTCGATGTGTCAAGTACTTAGTGCTTTGTAGGCATAAACAACAAAAAATGTGACATTAGTTTTCGTAAGGGTGTGACATGCCCTTATAAAGTTGCAATATGCCCTAATATAACCAGGAATTACATAAGTTTATAAAAAAAAAGTATAACAATTTTGTTCAAACTTTGGATTAAGTAATTATTAGAACCTGTCTTAATTTTTAACCTTATTACAATACTTCCGAGTGTGTTCGCAACTGGAAGTATGTTGGTACAGTAAAGTTGGGAAATTTAAATTAATATAATCAATATAAATACATAAATCAAATTAAAATAATTATATACTGTAGCATTTTACATGCTGAAATAAAATACTCTTTATTAGAATTAAATTTCACAATTTTATAATTCACTAAAATAATTCCTTAAAATTCTTACATGATTTTTTATAAGGTTCAGAATAATCCTAAAAATTCATTTCATTATAACCACCGCATCTATTTCAATATCAGTATGATTTTTAACAAAACATGCAAAAATTATCTTTATTAGAACGTTAGTCCGTTTAGTAGTAGTAGTATGAAGAGTACTGCTGATATAGCGTAATTTTACGTGGGTCAAGACTTTTAAATTATGAACAACAACCGACTGCAATGTCAATCAAAAGTGTGCAAACACTGTACGCAACTTATCATTTAGCGCGAAACTATTATGCAACATGTATTTCTGCAACTCGGAAATAGAAATAAAAAAACCGTATTATCACACATGGCTGTAAAGTATGGCCGATGGCCATATTAGACATACTTCGCATGGTTATATTGGTTAAGCTATACATAATTCTAAAGCTATCCTACCATATTCGCCGAATCGGTACTTCATTGACAATCCTAAAGTTACCCTAATGGGTGGACTTTTGCAGCAGAGTCAAATAATGTACAAGCTGCTCTATTCTAAAATGTATACAGTATTCATGTTGGTGACTTAATATTATCTTTTATTTTGACATATACAAATAGGAGATTTCTATTGACATTGCTTGAACCATGTTGATAATAAAAAAAAAAAGAAATGAAGTTTAATATTCCACCATCCAAATTTCAAAGTTGCTGGCATTGAAAAAAAAACGTTACTGTGGTTTAATTGTAGTAAAAAAAAAACACATGAAAATAAAATATAACTACACATAGTTAGGGAAAGCAGGATGCTCGTTAGTCATAAGTTAGTCATAAACATGATATACAAAAACAAGGTATCGACCAGAATCTTACTTAGTTTTTACAATATACACTTTTGGTTTTGTTAATGCTGTTATCTGAGTGTAAATTGCTATTGGCTACATGGCAATGATAAGTTTTAATGAATGGATGTGCAAACCAACATCTAGAACAAGCTTACACGTCAAACGAGACATTAGGCAAAGTCAATTAAAATGTGTGTGAAATAATTACATTAAGACAAGCACACTTGGCGTGGAACCTCCCTAATAATTGCAATAAAGATGCGATGAATAAATGTCAGACAAAAGAAATTCACAAACTGTTTTGATAAACTCAGTGAGTCAACTGTTATTGTTCAAATCACAAAACAGTAGGATTTGGTAGTAAACTACATCAATTTAATCGCAGAGTGTATGCTTCTGGATATATATACATTGGATAGCCATCACTTAGTAGGCTCACCCTATATTATCAATGTGTACATATGGGACTGTAGAAATACTAAATTTTTTTCTCTTTTCGCTCCTACTTCTTTGGTGGACATCTCAATCTTTTTGTTTATCGTCTTTATATGTTAAAGCACATTACTTTGGTATTATGCATCATCTAAAGTCCGACATTACATCAATCAGTATCATAGAGGTATCAGGCTATAAAAAAAACTAGAAAAAAAAAACCAGTAAAATATTAAATGAGATTAAAGATTGAAATGGTAATTCAAGTGAATCAGATAATTTTGATTGAGATACAGATTAAAACAATCTTTTACTACAAGAATCCTTAAATTGATTACAAACTAATTTAAGGGTTTATTGAAAAAATATAGGAATCGTATATGGCTATACTTTCATGTTTTAATTTGATGAGGAAAACAGTTTGCTTGTTTTAATTGTCAATTAATAATAATAACCTACTTAAATATAAACGGGTAATTTTTATGTTTGTTAGCTTAGTAAAGACAGTAATGAAATGCGCAATTACTAGTATTGGGGGCAGTTTTGAAGTCTTGCCAGACAGGTGGGTTTATTTTTGATATTAATAAAGCAACATTATGGATCCGAAGGCACTATCCTAATGAAATATAATCTAAACATCAATATTTAAAAATAGTTAGGATAATGAAAAAATGGAATGAAAGTTTTGTAGCAAAAAAAAAAAAAAATCTCAAATATTACACACTTTGTTAGTTCATAAACTGAAGTTGCTAATTACAATTAAAAATAATTACATTTCTTATTTATCAAAAAACCCTAATAGTGGCAGCTAATGGTTCTGTGGTGAATAATGGAATTTAACGATCATATAAATTTTGTACTAAATGTTTATGTGCAATATTCAAATTTTATAGCGACTACATAAATTCCAGGCATTTGATAGGTTAGAAGCCAGGCAATAGTTCCAGCCATGCCCTCTTATGCCTTCAATCTATGTAGTGGTATATAAAACAAAAATTTACTGGGATTTCAACCAGGTCATAGTTCAAAATATAGACCTTGGTTATCTGGAGGCTGTACTATGTCCATCGACTTTGTCTTGGTACATAGTACAGCTTCCAGATCACCTTGGGCTATAATTTAAACCATGCCCCTCAACCCAGTAAATATTTGTATAATAAATACTTGGCAATATGCATGTCACAATAAATACTGCAATGTATTATGGGTAAAATCTGTATCTTAGGCAAGAATCTATCATTATAAAGTCCTGTCCAGGCTATCAAATTTTAATTTACAAAAACATGCAACATGTCTAAATATGGTCATTACATCACTTCATGACCATATATAGGCACATCATGACTAATGTAGACATACAACTGTTTTTTTTTTCAGTGTCTCAACAGGGCTTAAGAATACTAGATATTAATTATTACCACACATACTATTACCCACAATGCACTGCTTTATAAGCGCTGACACATGAATATGTAAGAGTTAAAAATAATAACAAAAATTAAGTAGCACGTTGAAGTGCAAAGTACATCGGAATCTGCCTAGTAGTTTGAATACGGTATTAGATACCACAGAACCGTACAGCGGCACAGAATCGTGGGTTGATTCTTACGCAGAATCTTCGGGCAGGCACATGACGACTTCTAAATGAATACATTGCTGTTAAGGTGATCAATGTGGTTCAAGAGTCATTCGGCCTTTTGTAAAGCTTCTGCTAAGGGCAGTTGTTGCTCGGGTGATAGTTGGGCTATGCAAGCATTCCACAATTCTTGGTTACTCTACAATAAATTAACAATCATAAGCATATTGACTTGTGGCTATAACAATAATGATAATACAAATAAACAATGATGATGAATGATGTTGATGATAAAGACGGTGTTGTTTATGATGATGCTGTCGATGATGATGATGAGAATGACAATGATGATGATAATGACGATAAAGGTGATGACGATGATGATGTTGTGAAGATGATGATATTCATGTTAATGATGATAATAATAAATAAAAATATAAAAGATTAGGCTTATACTCAAGTAACTTAGATAAGGCATATTAATTAATAATATATTAATTATTACAATTTGATTTGTTAAAAATTTAAGCAACTTACCTGAATTTGTTTAATAATATTAACACAACGCTGGAACGTTTCTTTATCATCTGACAGAGCTTCTTTTGCGAATGTTTCCGACAGAATTAGCAAGATGCGGGGTAGATTTGTATTATTAGCGCCCAGTACAACTGGATTATTTCTACAACAAACACAAAATCGATAATAATAAACAAAAACATATACAAATACAATCAAATATTTAGAAATGGCCATTTCAACTTGTTATCTTTTAGTAATATCTACCACACAAAATCATGTGTTTCATCTAGTATTAGTTGTGCATTTTTGCATGAAATTTTTTTAATGTTCTACAATAAAATGTTTCCAAGAGGATCGATAAGACCCTGAAGCCTGCAGACCCACAAAAAAGACAAGAATGTAAAATCCTCTTAAAACCATCAAATTTTATTTGACAAAAACATGTGACATGCATTAATATGGTTATGACGACATATGATGACCATATATAGACACATCATGACTATATATGGGCATACAGTAGTTTTGTTTTTTTTTCAAAGGAAATTTGATGGTGTGGAAACTTCAACTTACGATTCTACAAGACTGCACAGGAAGTTGTATACATGTGCTGCTTCCTCCTTGTCCTCTGTCAGAGGTAACCATGTCAACCAGTTTGGTAATACTTCTAAGGAGTTGATGTTGCTATGGTTTGCTTGGAGTATCTTAGCAACTGCTGCTATGGCATTTTCGGTTGCACTGACATTTTCGGGAGCCCGGGAGTTTTCGGCTGTGATCATTTGCGATAAGCATGGAATGGCCTCTGTAGATTAAAACAAAGAGTGATGGTAAAAACTGTATGCAGTCAAGATAACATATATTGATGTAAATGCTTAGTATGCCTGCCTTACTGCTCGCCAATTTAAGTGGCCACGAAGTAAGGTGGGGTATTTCTAACTTTAGGCTTAACACCAGCACTGGCGAAGACACACTTCACCAAACTAACAAATCTAAAAATTACAGATCTTTTTCTTACCATAACAAGCATTCGCATATTGTGGTCCGCCACATTTACCCATAATTCCACAGCCGTAGGCGCATGCTTGACGTACTTCGGGACTTTTGTCTTGCAGCAAGTCTATCATTTGTCTTAAAAAATATTGCTGGTACTTCCAGGAACACTGATTAGGAAAAAAATTATTATAAATATACTTCAATTTTTATTACTAAATCTACCACAAAAATTCTACCTTGAATATTTGTTATAAGGTTGCCAACATTTACATTTGGTATATTTTGAATTTAAAAAAACTTTTAGTCTAAATATATAAATGCATCATACCGGTCCACAATATTCAATGACATCATCAAAAATGCAGATGGCCCATTGGCGGTCAGTCCATGGCCGACCAGGTTCCAATAGCTTAACAAGATTTGGTAGAACGGCTTCAAAGTATGGTAGCGACAAGTCGCCATGTGTCCCGATGAAGGAATGGAGGATATCGGAGATCTTGCTCAGCACGTATACATCATCATCATCCTGAAAGCAAAGTCAGACGATCAACTGAATCTTATACTAAGGAGGGTTTTAGTTAAATGCTTTAAATTTATATAATTAGGAAGAAATATACATATCTTCCTATATATGGGCATACAACAGCTTTTTGTCAAACAAAATTTGATAATCTGGACAGAGCTTTCTGAATATTCATTTGTACCACATACCAAACATTTCTTCCCTCCAGAGGGAAGAGGCACTTATGGATAATCTGAGGTAAATGACCATTTAAAGTGCACAACATCTACACAAAGTGCACTCTGAATGTAGATAGAATATGCTAAAAAAAAAATGAGGAGATCTGTAGTATTGTATGGGCTTTTATTATGAAAGGTCCAGGAGTTTAGTTTAACATATTTCTTGCAGTTGATAACCATTACCTCATCTTGCAGCCCTTCTTCCACTATATCATCGTAGTCTTCATCTTTTCTTTGCTCTACAAAGAATTTTATTATAAACTATTAACTTAACACAGAAAGATAATATCTGATGTAATAAATAAATATAGTACCCTGTCGCTTTAGTTTGTCGCTTCCTCAGAAGAAAATGTAAAATGTGTCTTCTGCAGCAACTACTATATGGATGATGAAGTTAAAAACTAGATACCAAACTATCAGATGAAGCAGGGGTGAATCCAGAGATGTCCAAAAAGTAGGAGGGGGCCAAAAATGGGAATGATTGAGATGACACTACCACAGGGGTCCAGGCCCTGCAAAAATTTGGTGTTCTAGACGCCCGAAAATAACCCCTGAGGCACTTTGGGTGAACAATTTTTTCTTTATATTTCTTTTCTTGGAACCATTTACTGGCTTCTAATTGTTTAATTTTCAACTACGAATGTGGAAAACATCCACACATTTAGTTATAGATAATTAAACACATAAATACCTTGTCTTTCTTGTTGTCTTTTAAAATGATGTTCAAATAGATCATTAATGGCCTTCATGAGCTCATTCATCTGTTGTTCTGACATACAGCCTTTGCCAAGAAACTCTATGCACTGAAGACACAAGACAAAAGATATGAAAATACAGTTAATTGCATCTGTTTCATTTTCATTTCATTTATTCCCTTCATCCAAAATACAAAAAGGAAAGAAAAAATGAGGCTGGATTCCCAAAAACAGATTCTAGATCTCTATCGAGTGGTCTGCCAAATTTAACAAACACAATTAAAAGTATCAAAACACTACATATAAACATTAAAATTTCATATAAATATACAATACATAATTTTGTAATAATAATAACAAAAATGATAATAACAATCAATAAAAAGATTATATAGAATTCTAAAATATATATAAAAATTAAAATACACATTTCAAGAAAAACACACGAATAAAAATAACAACAGCCTTCCCAAAACAGAAGGCAAAAAGATACCAAAACACAGTAAAATCTTTGGACCATGTAGTGGTCATAAATGACAACTGATATCAAAATTAGGTCAAATCTATGCTGAAGCCAGTATGAAAATGAAGTAAATGGTTAATAAAACCTTAACTTTCTCTATTATTTACATGATTTTATGAAATTCATAACATCAAAAATATATTTTTGTAAAAAGAGCATCAGCCGGTTCTGTTAAGTTTGCGAATGTGACACAAATGTGAGCGGAGTTATAAATAAATAAAACATAAGAAATTTTAATAATGACCTTTGCGAAAGAGTCCATGTGCTGTTGGAGTATATCGACCTCTGGTTCTGTTTGGATGGCTTGCATGATGTTTGGGTAAATAAACTGCCACATTTGTGCCAAGTACTCCTCTCCTTTAATCTTTGCACATTCTAGCAGCACTGGTAGTGATTCAGCAGCTGTATATCTAACCAGTGAGATTGTTAAGGAAAGTTTTATATATCAAAAGTTTTTGTCCTATTATTGTCTAATCAATATTGTCCTAGTGCAAAGCACTTTATTAAAGGTTGTACTAAATCCAGGAAAACTTAAATGTACTAGTGTCTTACTCTAGAAATCAAACACCACTTGAAATATTGCCCTTTGTAAGCGGATTAATTCAAGAGAGGACTCTTTTATTAACTGAAGTCTATATCCTCCAATCCTGTCAACAAACACTGCTCTATGACATTGGTATTCATGAAGGATTGCGAGCTATTGTTAGCTTAAAGGGTTAATTATGTGGTAAGACGAGACATGCTGTCGTGCAGTACAATCTATTTACAACAACTTTATTCTAAGGATATCATCATGGAAATAAAACTTGAGAAGTGGGACCATGATTTTGACGACTTGTTCTGTGTAATCCGCAAACGCTTCCTTTAATTCTTTAGCATAACACACCAACATCTGACAAGCTGTGCTTTTGTCGTCTAGACCAGAGGTACGAATTCCAAAACTTTGCTACAAAGAAAAATCAAAACTTAATCACCAGTTTATGCTAATTTTTAAATTACAAGAAAAGTAGAAAGTAATTGAAGCAAGATTACACCCACATTTACAGTACTATAAGAAGCACTGTAGTTCTATATAGGACCAGTAAAGATGTACTATCAGTCAAAAAGCTTGGAAAATACATAACAATTTTGAATTGCTCATTTGAAATGATCAAAGTAATTATTAGCTTCCCAGAAGAAACAGATCAAAAACACTGAATTACCAGCCAATTTAAGGATATATGCAAAAGAATACAGGAAATTCATTATTTAACTGTCTGAAAAATTCAAATTTTTCATTTGAAGTTAATAACTTATTTCAATATACAAAAAAAGCAATTCAATTGTGGAATTAAAATTTTAAATTTTTTTGCCTCATGGCTGATAGTACATCTTTAATCACTAAACAGTTATTTGTTGCAACATTTTTCTTGCTATTGTTGCTATTTGTTGCACTCGAGAACAAATTGATTCTCTTACCTGGTCCCCTAAATTTACAAACTGCCATCCTTCATCTTCTCTTAAATTTTGAGCATCTTCAGCTAGAATAAAATTATTTATATTTTTTCATGTTATGCTGAATTTTCAGAATACAAACATATTAATATTAACTATAAAAAAAGTAACATTCATTTAAAAAAAGATTGAAACATTAATCACATTTTATTAAAATTCAATATAGAAAAAGTATTAATATTTTTTTTAAATCGAATTGACCTTTGATCATTTAATCCCAATTTAATGACCTCTCTCTTTGTCCAATATGTATAGACACCACAAAATTATAAGATAATCTATCTCTTAGAACTTGCTTAATCTTGCTTAATCCTGCTAACAGAAAAAGGCTGGTAAATACATAACCTGCATGCTGAGGTAATAAAGTTCTAGATCACTTCAACAGTAGGGATCTTTCGATTGCACGACAATGGTAGGACGTCGAACGTAATAAAATCACTAAAAGTCATCTGCGCATGCGAAAACGTTAAGTTCACCTCGTCCAGCAGATTCTGGAACGCAATTTGGCCAAATCTATGTATGCAGAGAGCGTATGACGGCAAGTAGGAATGTCACGCATTCATGTCATTGCACAAATCGAAAGCTCCTTAGTTATCGGGGAGAGTGAAGAGCGGTGTCAATGATGATGATTGTAAAACTGATACATTTTACCTTGCACCTCATTATACCCTGACCTAATCACATTATTCTTGTTTTTTGTAATTTACCACTTTTCTATGAAGATCACTTACTGTCTAATAATGCCACTTCAGGCTTAAGAGATGCTGTTTTCAGCAGTGGCCCCATGACAACTGGTAAGTATTGCTGAAAGTCCTTGCCTAGAAGCTTACACATTCTTGCCCAAGCTGATATCATGTACGATATTTGCGGGTCATCGTCCTCTAGTTCGTTGGCATCGGTCTGTGTCTTCAGAAGAAGCTCCATTATATCGCTTGCATCTTGCATAAACTAGTGAATGAAAATAAATAAATACAAATGTCCAGTGACAGTGTCTTCAAAATAAGCCCTCCCAAAATATACTGTGCTGCTAATCAAGATAACATTAGAATATACAGTCAGTCAGCAAATTTTCAATTTTGTATACTCATGAAAATTAGTGGCAGATTTAGGGGGTTGAGGATCAGGATGGCCGCAGTCCCCCTCCCCCTTTTCGAATAGTAAAAAAGATATAAAGAAAGAAAAAGAAATAATTGATCTCCCAAAATGAATCAGAGGTTTTTTTCGGGAGTCTAAAAAACAAATATTTTGCGGGGCATGCTCCAGACACCCTGGGGTAGTGTTGTCTCAATCGGCCCCACTTTCATCCCCCTTTCGGGCATCTCTAGATTTATCTCTGAATATGGTAGGAAAAAAATGGATAAAGCCTTGTGATTTAGGTCAAAAAATATTGCTTTAAATTATAAATTTTATACTTTAAACATCTATCCAACAAAAAAGCATTAATCTACAGAAATAGGAAATAAGATTTACCTTTTGTTGGCCAACTGCTAGTCCGATAAGGCTGATACATTCAATAGTTTTTCCTCGTAATAATCTCAATTCTTTACTTGTCGCATGCTGCACAATGTTCTTTAATCCTGGCATGAAATTGTCGTAGTATTGAATGAACTTATCCTCCGCGGAGTCGGCAACAGCAGCCAGTGTTGTGACCATCTGCTCTAGGACGAGCTTTGTACCTTTCTGTACAAGCTGTCAACAAGAGAGGGTGACACACTTTATTTTATTTTTTTATTTACATATTTGGCTTCACTGCCCGCAAAGACGTATACTTTACTAATTTTCTAAGACAGTAGATATATTTCATTCATCAAATAGGAAATATATTATGATAAAAACAGTACATTGCATAGTTCAAACCAATAATTTTATAATTAAAAAAAAAAGAAAAAAAATGTATTTATACTATGTATCATTAGAATTTTATATACAACAAATGTTTATTTTTACAGAAATCGTTACAAAAAATGTATCTTTGAGAATACAATGCGAATTTTTAAATCACTTATCAAAACTGCTCCCAAAACTGCTGTTTAAAACAGTTTAAACTATCCCACAATTCAAATATATTCCATAATTGAAAAAAAAAAATGTTCAAAAAAACAACTTACCTCCTGTATCTTGACAACTAAGATGGAGTGTAGCTTTCCGAGGATGAGGGCTAGGTATGGCACAATGTATTCCTTGGGGCAATCCTCACAGAAGTTGACCAGGGCCGCCCCAGCATGAGCTTGGACCCTGGCATTTGCAAAGTCATCTAAAACAGCAACCAGGCCCGGTACAACCTGATCAAAAATATAAAAAGTTGGTTGGAAATATATTTAGCTGTTTCTGCCTGAACTGTAGTTATTACTATCTTTCAAAAACACAGCTCACTAAACATGGTATCATCATGGAGTGCAGTTTCAAGCATACTCGCAGTGCTGTGAATCACTGCATCCACAGCAATGTACTTGCCATTTGCATTTTTAATAAAATCCTATGTTTTTAATTCTTTGTGCAGCAAGTGAAAATATGCCTACTCCATTATTTTTCATGTGGTGTCTTTTTCTGCAAGAAACTTGGGTAAATATTTACGAAATAAACTATTATGTATAAAATGTACATACACAACAGGAAGTAACTAACTTATTTGAACCACATTTGATAATGGTATAGTCATCAAGCGACTGACGTTCATTCAGTTTGCATACCTTTTCGTGAAACTTTCGTTCAAAAGTAGGAGCAAAGTCCGTTGCCATTTGACCTAGCGCATTACAGGCTGCATAGCGCACTCGTGGATGCTGCAAAGGTAAACAAATGTTGACAGATATAAACTCAGATTTTGATACAAAATCAACTTTATTTTCATATCAAATGAATATGAAGAAAATTTGTATCAAACATGTCCTGTACATAAGACTGCTGACAATTACCTTAATTTTTATAATTTTTTTTAACATTTTGATTACAATGTGTTAGATTTACTTTTATGGTATTTTGATATTTTGTGATATAGACTGGTTCCATTTCTCAAAAATCATCCTCTATAACAATTCAGTTGGCACTTTTGGGTACAAGCTGGGATCCAATTGATTTAGGGTATTTTGCTGATTATTAATCTGGTGGATCTCAAGCCAAATTCTTTCATCCGAGGGTCAAAATGGCTGATTTTATGCAAAATTATTCATTTTTCTCGATTTTTGGACATATATTCTGAAATAAATTAAAAATTAAATTGAAATCTATAAAGAGGTAAATTAAAGTGTAAATAACTACTTTACCGGGTCACCAAGGAATGGTAAAACAGAGTCGACAATAGTGTTTAGGACAGCCTCCATTTGAGTGTGGCATCCTTCACCGACTGCTGAGATGGCCATTAAGCCTGCATGTCGATATTTCCAATTGTCTACAAATTTGAAAATAAAATATTGTTGCGATTAAAAACTTCAATTTGATAATTTCTTTAAAATGTTAATTTTATGTATTACAATAATTAATTTTATTGAATTAAAAAAAAATTTACATTCAGTTTGCATCATTGGTACAGTTTTTTTACAGAGCAGCTAAACTGGTTGTAGCTACTGTGTGTGCGCTGAAACATGGAGATCTCTTGGCCTCCGGTTCTCTTTTTATTTCAGCTAGAGGACTGAAATGCAAGCTACGATAGCGCACCGTCCACGTGCACGTTCAAGAATGCAGTACGACACACTTCATAAACGAGTAGGGGATGGTCTTCTGGTGGTTTTGTGGGTTATCCTTTGTGTTTACACCGAATAAATCCATCCATTCTTTGTATTTTCAATAGCATGTGATCTTACCCTCCTCTGCCAATCCTCCAATACCATCATTAGTGACTATTAATAAATTTCTTCTTAATCATAGCTTGTCATATATATTACTTATTTATTTATTTATTTCAACAATATTTTGTGAGGGTGGTCCATCCAGCCTGAGCTGATCAATTGGGACCCTCAGTACATACAATTAAAACATAAGTATAAAAATTAAACTTGATCTTTAACATAAACAAATTAATTAAATTAAACCAGGAAAAGATTAATAACTAAAATAATAAAAATCAGAAAAAAGCAGATATAGGCCTACAGTATATAAATTATATAAAATAATGATTTAAGGAAAACATTAAAGCAAAAAATAAATAAAATAAAAATAAATAAATTGACATATTGGACAGAAAAATAATTGAAATAAAAAATAAATCAAAAGAATTATTGAGAAGATAATTAATTGAACTAACATAAATAGAAAAAAAAAAGTTTATAAAAGATAAATAATTTATTTATTTTTTCTATCACTGACTTTTCACAATGTTTTTATATAAAGAGCACAGAATGAAAAAAAGTAGAGAAAAGAGAAAGAAGATGAATTTAAAGATAGGAAGAAGCAGAATGAAGATAAAGAAGAAAATGAACAGAAGATGAGGAGAAATAGGAGGCAAAGCAGAATGAAGAAAAATATCAACAGGGGAAAATGTGCATGTAAAAGATAAGATTATCACAAAATATATTAAAATATTTTTTTCAAGTAACAGTAAAATATTTAATATCTAACCATTTTGTAGCATTTTTGGTACAGTGGCTATGATGTGAGGCAGGATAAACTTGCCGCCAATACCGCAAGCAAACCGGTCGAGGGCACTCTCTCCTGTAACTGCATTGGTGTCAAAATCGTCATCATCGACCTCATCGCTGTTCGCCCAATCAGCGTCATCCTCAATGTCAACCATCATTGCTAACATTTCTGGCACTAAAAATAACAAAAGAATAAAAAATAAAAGTAAAAATTTAATTTACTTTAAATAATTTTGTAGCTATATTCTTAAATATAGTAGAACTTGCCTAAGTCGATTTGCCTAACTCGAATAATTTCTAAGTCGATCTTGTTTTACATGCCAAATTGTTGTGTTTTCCCATTAATTAACGATGTGTAAGTCACATTTTATCTAAGTCAAACAATTTTTCAATGCCATTTTGGATTCGAAAGGCAAGTTCAACTTTAATTAACAGACAATTTCAAGATAATAATAAGATTATTAATCAATTAATTGAGTGACGGATTGATTGTAGGGATAGGCTCACATTATATATATATATATATATATATATATATAAATATACACACACGCTTAGAAGTAT